CTGAACCCTTGGTAGATAATTCTGGCATTCTTAAAATTTTACATTGTGGAAAAATTGTCGTGTTGTCTAGAGAGTATAGATTACCAAGTGATGAAAATACCTCAAAAAATAAAGACAATTACTCTAATTTTAATAGTGAGATGAAGAAGCATTGGTCAAAATTTCGTAAGAATTTAAGATCAACTGAAATTAAAGGTGTTCAAAAAAATCTTGGTTGGGACAATGTTAAAGAAAATCATTGTACTGATGAACAAGGTTCATCACGGGCTAGGGTACTGGATACACCTTGTTTAAATAATTTGGAAGAGGGTCAGGGTAATTATTTTCAAGATGATTTATTTGATATTGAAAAATCTTCAAGTTATCATCATCGATTATCTGACTATGAGGAATTTGAACAACAACAACCTTCTCCTTGGTCTCAGTCTCCTGCTCCATCTCCAGCTGTAACGGATCTAAATTGTAATCCTTTCTTTCAAGCTATACCTGAAATTGATGATGAAGCATTCAATCCCTCCTCTTCAAGTTCTTCGTCTCCTGACCTTCATTCCTCACATAACTTTAGCTATCCGGCTATTACAGATAACAATGTTTACTCTATTGTACATATTCCTTTAATTCATCCTACTACTGTTAAAAATGTGGTTCCTACAAATACAAATCGCGCACCTGTACCTATAGCAATTTTATCGTTTCTTTCATGCCTTGTTCCTTATCCATCGGATTTAATTAACTCTTTAAAAGGCCTGGCTCCATTCTTGGCAACAACCTTATCAGTCTCAATGATACATCAGCAGTCTGTTGTCCAATTATCTTGTACAACTCCAACTAGATTAGAAAGACGTCGTAGTAGTCAACATTCTAATATGACTGCTACTCCATTTTCTACGGATTCTTTGGTTGATGATGATGAATTTAGTTTATCATCTGGTGAATGTTCGACAGCATCAACAAATTCTTCAAAATGGACTGCTTATGGATGTAGTCCAAGTTTAGACTCGGATAATGAGATGAATTCATTTAGTAATATACAGGGTTTCACGAGATCTGATAGTTATGAACATACGCCTGTCTCTGATACTATACCATTAACCACGAACTCTCATCCACACACTTTCATAACATCACGCCGTTCGGGGAAAAATCGTAGAATTTCGATGCCAGCGGACACTACTTTCTGGCACCGTAAGAGACGTCGATCAAAACGTTCTTCAAGAGGATCGAATCAGTCAGGTAATTATCATAATCATCATAATTGTCATAATTGTCATCAATAATATTATTTATAAAAAATATAATTATCTAGGTGACATTCTAAATACTAAAATGCTTCGTTTAATGGTGGATCTTATGCCAAATGCTGTTTAGTATGTATACTATCTATGATTTTGATATATATGTTTATTTTTTATTATTATCGTTATTTAATAATTTAATTTAGCACTTGTTCCCCCGAAACCGGTGATTGTACTTGGGTAAACATGCGCTTGTTAAAGTATACTGGACTCAATTTAGAAGATTTACTCGGGCGTGGGTGGATAGAAGTTATACATCCTGATGATCGAGCCAACGTTTTGGAAATGTGGAACACTACATTTTTACGTGGAGAAGGGACAAGTGCTAACTACCGCATGAAACGATTTGATGGACAATATCGTTGGTTTCTTGGCCGTGCTGGTCCCTTACGTGACGCAAGAGGTGTTAATATTCGTTGGTTTGGAACTTGCATTGACATTCATGATCAAAAATTAGCTGAACAACGCCAAAGTCGACAACTTCATATAGAAGCCAGTGAAAAAAAATATCGACTTCTTGCAGATGCAATACCTCAAATAGTATTCACTGCCACACCTAAGGATGGTATAACATATGTAAATGATAAATGGTTGGCTTATTCCGGTCAAACTGAGGAACAAGCAAAAAATTTAGGATTTTTGTCACACGTTCATCCGGATGATCGTGCGATTTGTCGTTTACCGGAAGATACAGCATCTGATATGGAAATGGGTTATTCGATTGAGGTTCGTTTGCTGCAGAATGACGGGGAATATAAATGGTATCTGGTAAAATGTATTAGTGTTGAGGTTTCAGAAGAAGGCCGTAAATGGCTTGGTACTTGGTAGGTCATCCCCTTTTTAATACTTAAGCATAATAAACGTTTTTAATTGGTAATTAATAAATGATACGTGATTTGTTTTATAGCACTGACATAAATGATCATAAAGTATTAGAGCAAAAACTTAAGGAGGCTCATGATGCAGCTAAAAGATCAATGGAAAGTAAAACACGATTTTTGTCCAATATGTCGCACGGTAATTGCTATTAATGTTGGTATGATGATTTTATTTTATTTTAAGCAAGAAAATAAACTGCTTATCCCTCATTATTAGAAATTCGTACTCCATTGATTGGCATTACCGGCATGATTAATTTCATGCTGGCTACTAATCTAACAACGGAACAACTTGATTACGCGCACACAATTCAACAATCTGCAGATGCATTGCTTTTAGTCATAAATGATATATTGGATCTGAGTAAAGTTGAAGCTGGAATGATGAAACTGGAGATGGAGCCTTTTTCACTTCATAATATGATCGAAGATACCAATGAATTACTTTCAACATTGGCAATACAAAAGTGTCTTGAACTAAGTTTTATAGTAGATGATAATGTTCCCAACGTTGTATGTGGAGACAGAGTAAGATTACGTCAGGTCTTATTAAATGTTATAGGGGTAAGTTATTAGCAAGCCATAAGTATATGAACATTATATCTAGATATTCCTTTTTTTTTTAATTATTTTTGGCATAATTTACATAGAATGCAATCAAGTTCACCTCGAGAGGAGAAGTTTTTTCTCGTTGTTCTATACATCCAGAAGAATCAGGAATTAACGAGAGTGAAGTTATATTGTTGTTTGAAGTTGTTGATACTGGTGACGGGTTTGATTCTGGAGAGGAAGCTGCTATGTTTAAACCATTTTCTCAAGTGGATACGTCTGTGAGTTTTGCAGAGCAATTAATTCTTCAGCCTATAAATTTATATCAAGTTCTTTTACCTAATAGTTGTTTTTTTTTTTAATAGTCAACACGGAAACGTGGAGGTAGTGGGCTTGGGTTGGTCATATCTAGGCAATTAATAGAGCTGCATGGAGGCAAAATGTACTGTAAAAGTCAAAAAGGTGTTGGATCAACGTTTTATTTCACAGCCAAATTCCAAATACCTCCTGATTCCACAGATCCTCGTCCATCTACACCAACTTCCGAGGAGCTCAATCCGTTTCTTCGGATTAGCAAGTTTGCTGTGCAGAATGATATTAGTTCTCCACCTCCTTCAAATTTACAGTCATCAAATCTAACATCTTCTCCCATGTCAACCGTCTGCCAAAATTCTCCTGTGTCAACCGTCTGCCAAAATTCTCCCGTGCCAACCGCCTGCCAAAATTTCGAACCTTCACTTCCAAATCCATTCGGTTGTATAGAACCCAATAATAATAATGTATCATTGCCCGAGTCAATTGTACCATCGTCGAAGACCTCAACACCAACCATTTCAAGGCCTTCCACTCCGTCATCAAAGTTTCGAACAGTTAATTTTGCTCCATCCCGTTTGTGTTCTTATAGTGGCCGATCTACCACGATCACGTGAAACTTTGGTGTACTATGTTCGCTCCATTCTTCCTAAATCACCAACACCTGATATTGATATTACTTGCAACTATGACGAAGCTAATGATCGACTTACAAGTTCAGAAATAAAGTCTTATACACACATTCTTATAAATTTAGTTTCTCAAGATCATATTATTTTTCTTTCTACTAAAATCAAAAATTTGACACACCTCTCGCTCACCATCACTGTAATATTAACCACTCCAATTCAACGTGCTGGAATTATGGAGGGTGCACGAAACGATTTACCAGAACGTGTTGATTTTATTTTAAAACCTCTTAACAGAACCAAAATGGAAGGTTTATTTGATCATACCACCACAGTACGGGATAATTTCTTAAGACGCAGAAACACGCATCAAATAGTTGCATCTCAAAGAGAAGTGTTTCAACGTATGGCAGATGCTGTCGGTGACAAAGGATTTAGAGTCTTGTTAGTTGAAGACAATTTTGTTAATCAGAAAGGTGACTTTCAATATTGTTTATTTTCTGTTGGTTAAATGTTAGAAAAAGAAAATATCAAATATACTAATTTTCATGTCAAAATAGTGATGACAAAATATCTCACTAAAGTGGGTTTGGAGGTTACTGTTGTTGATAATGGTGCTCAATGTTTGGAAAAGTTTTATTCACATGATCACAATTATTTTTCATTAATATTGGTAAGTTAAAATACAAAAATTGCTATACATCAAATATCTTTGATTAATTCCAACATTTTAATTATAGTGTGACTTATTCATGCCCGTTAAAGGTTTTTTTTTTTGTTTAATTTTATTATCTGATATATCAAGTAAACTTATAATAACGTTTATACTCTTGCAAATTTATAGATGGATTCGAGACGACGGCTGAAATTCGATCGTGGGAGGCTGAAAATTTAACGGATGAACCACCGATCCCAATAATTGCACTTACTGCGAATGTGATGTCAGATGTGGCGGAAAAATGTTTTGAAGTTGGATTTACAAGCTACGTCAGTAAACCTGTTAGCTTCTCTAAATTAAGTGATGTGATCAGAGAGTTACTAATTAAAAATAATAATAATAATAATAATGATAATAATAATAATGATGATAATAGCCTTGATAATAATGGTGTTGTTAAACTCCCAGCGCTGAGAACAATTAGTGAATAATAAAAAAAAAGAATTCCAGCAGGGTAGGTGGGAATATAGAATTACAATGTGTGCAAATTTTAATATGATCATTGAAACCAACAAAAGCACTTGTGTTT